CTTAGACATGTCAGATTGCGACAAAACTTAGCATGTGAACTTTTAAAGTCCTTAAAAAGATCCTTACTCGTTTTGGGGAAATTCTGAGTGTCAAAAATTCCAATGTAAGTCAGGGCTTTATTGACCTGCTTCTCCTTTATTCCACATCAAGGACCCAAGGTGCTGAAAATGCCTTCAAAGAGCTTGCCCCGCCAAATGTTGTGTTTCAAGAGAAGTGATAAGGAAAACATTCGAAAAATTTCCTTCGGCTTTATTAATTTTTTCTTCCTAGCCACAGGACCACGTGAACGCCGAGGAGATATCCACGCAATACTATAACTAGGATGTTGAGACGTTTGGATGCATTTGTCACAGATCCATTCGTGGAGACTCTTTGAGAGAGAAGAGACTTTTGAGGGATCCTGCCGAAGTCCTCACCCTCAAGGGACTATTTGTGATTTGGAGGGATTTGGTTTTTAAGTCCTCACCCTGTCGGACGGTGACGGCCTGTGCTAATGATTGGGCTACGTGTTCACCCAGCCTTGAAGAAGAGATGTTGACTGGGCTACGTGTTCACCCAGCACTAAAGAAGGATGTTGACTGGGCTATGTGTTCACCCAGCATCAAAGAAGGATGTCGATTGGGCTATGTTTTCACTCAGTACCGAAGAAGGGATGTCGACTGGGCTACATGTTCACCCAGCACTGAAGAAGGGATGTTGACTGGGCCCCGTGTTCACCCAGCACTGAAGAAGGGATGTTGACTGGGCTACGTGTTGACCCAGTACTGAAGAAGGGATGTCGACTAGGCTACATGTTCACCAGCACTGAAGGAAGATGTTGACTGAGCTACGTGTTCACCCAGCACTGAAGAAGGATATTGATTGGGCTACATGTTCACACAGCACTGAAGAAGGATGTTGAGTAGGCTACATGTTCACCCATCATTGAATAAGGATGTTGACTGGGCTACATGTTCACGTAGGATTGAAGAAGGATGTTGATTGGGCTACGTGTTCACCTAGTACTAAAGAAGGGAGAAAGAGACGAAGGAGTAGAAAAGAGAGAGATAGATGAAGAGATAGAAAGGAGAGAGAAAGAGAGAGAGAAAGAGAGAGAGAGAGAGAGAGAGGCATGCATGACGCTGCCACTATCATGCATGTCGAGAGAGGAGAAGAGAAGAAGAGAAACAAGGGCACGCACGGCGTTGCCACTGTCGTGCATGTCAAGAGGGAGAAGAAGAGAAGAATAGAGAAAGAGAGGCATGCACGGTGCTGCAACTGCCGTACATGTTAAGAGAGAACAAGAGAGAGAAGAAGAGGATAGAAAGAGAGGCATGCATCGCGCTGCCACTACCGTGCAAGTTAAGAGAGAAAAGAAGAGAAGAACGGAGAGAAAGAAAGAAAGAAAGAGAGGCATGCATGGCGACCGAAAAACTTGCCATTTTAAACTTGAAATTAAGTGTTAATCTTGTGCAATTTTACCTCATAATGTTCCCCTTTGTCTCACTATCGCAATGTGCCCATTTTCAAGACGATCTAATGCCGGGATCTCATGATATGGCTATTTGATCAAAATCATATCATTTTTTTCAGAATTCTGCAACACATAAATTTTTTAACTTCATTTCTCTCTAAAAATTCTCTCGTTTCGAGCAATGCCATGAACTGAGACTTATTTCGAAAAGTGCATATTGATGAGCTCTATATTGTGTCAAAAGCTGAGCTTAAACGAGGTTAAAACAAGTGAGTTATGGTCATTTTAATGGCAATCCCGAAATCAATGGTTGCAGATTCCAAAAATGCAAACTGGTGCCTCGCAGCCTCACCAGAATGGTGTAAAACACCCTATTTTTAATAAGCTGGGCCAAAATAGTTCTAGAAAAGTCCAAATAAGCCGAAAATTGATATCTTGGCGTTTTTCGAAGTTTCGGATCCAATGGAAGTGGTATGATGCTCGCTTTGATAATAGAGCTAAAGTTATGAGGTCCTTTTTAGTACGATAGGCGCTGAATAGTCCTTAGGGCATCCCAAGATACATACATAT